CCCCCCCCCCCCGCCCTACCCCCTACCCTCTTGCTTAGAAAGGCCTGATATCACTGGCTTGAAGGTGGTAAGCTCTCAGTAATTGCACGGGTTAACCATATCCCACATTGTTAAGCGCCATTTCGTAATTTCGCCATTTCATATTTTAAACATGCCTTCCTGATAGTTACTGACATATGGGTGGGTAGTTCATAATTTCATCTCGACTGAAATTTTGTACTACTTTGTGACATAGTTAGTAGAGGAGACTAAGACTAGACTCTACTAACTATGTTTGTGAGCATCACAGTTCTGTTACGTTCATGCACCAACTGCAATCCCGGCCAAAAGTAGTTGGGACACTTGAGCTAGATCACGTATCCCCCACCCCCCCTAATCAATGTTGGAAAATATCGCGTTTTTTTCCAACAAAAAGGGAAAAAATCACCCGATTATCAACATTGTAAGTGGGGGGAGGGGAGAACTTGCTTGCTGTCCCAACTTTTTTGTCCGGGATTGTGGCTTGCCTCCCAAAATAAAGCTCGTTCAATGCAATCTCGTGAAATACTCGGTTGTAAATGCGCTTAAGCTTGATTATAACTTTCTGCCCTCGAGGACCTTCAAGGGTAGATGTCCTGAAAATATTTCCGCTTGCAGATCCTACTGATACTTTACTTACTTCGGGGTTTTTGCGAATTCCGCATTTCCAAGAATTGTGCGAAACCGCATTTAGTTTGAGCAGCGGGTAGCCCCCAGAGAGTTCGAGCAGACGGTGGCTGACTTTGTGGTTAGTATAAAGAAACATTATAAGGAGTGAAATCGCTAATGTAGATGTTTGGAACGCTTCTTTGGCCGTTCATCTTCTATCTGGTCGCCAGCTCTTCCATTCTGGATCATATTTTCTTCTGGCTGTGTCGTTTGATGCCGGGAGGGAGAAAATTTGCCACTTTAAAGGCTAGTTGCCCGCCGAGTATTCGAAGTCTTCAGAACGCCGTGCGAGGTTATCGGTGAGTGAAATCTTTAAGCGCATCTTTGTTCACTTCGTGGCTAACCGTGGTAAATATAAAAGAAATCTTCCATTGGTTGGTTAAAGTTATAAGTTAAGCACAAATTGAAAAGAATATTGCACTTTTCAGTGAGCGCGCGAATAAGAATTCAAAGAACCTCAGTCACAAATGCGCGTTATTCACACTAATAGAAGCTAACTATCAGTTTCGATTCATTTCTTTTCAACAGGAACGGATCTCCTCCATCTAGTGGTGGAATACATTCGATTTCTTCATTATTGACAATACCTCCATTGTACCACTACCCTCATCCAAATTTGCCTGTGTTTACCTCAATGGGTTTCGAAGTCCTATTCCTTTGCTATCTTGTCAGCGCTCTTGTACTTCAACATGTCAATATCTACAAAACGGTGGGTGCTTGTCTTATTTTGGCTAAATTTTATTCTGGTCGTTAGATAAACGAACGTGCACTTTTTAACCGATTGCTATCCATAAAAATTGATTGACTGTCAAAAGAGAGCGAGGTCCGTATAATTATTCTGCTATCGTGCCATGTTCGCAGAGTTTACAAAATTGATTATCTTTAAACTCAGTATACCGGGTGTTCCAATTCATTGATTATTAAGGTTAAATATAAATATTAACTTTACAAAACTGCTCAGTAACCTCACGTTGCTTGACTAGATTTTAGGGGCCCAAATTTTCGTGACAAGGATGTATATTCGTCATCGAGTCGTGTCTCAATTTTTTTCCTCATCAGAATTAATTATCACTACCATCTCGAATTTATGTACGTTTCTCAGTTGGCATTTAGTGCGGAAATGAATTGTGATGTTAATTATCGAGTAGTTTTCATGAAAACAACTCTTCATTGTTCTTTTCTTTTCTGAAAAAAGTAAGTTCATTTCTGTACATACGTGGTGAATCAGCCCTTTACATATGAAAAGCCAATATTTCAATGCACTAAATTTGAAAATTCATTTCAATTATGGACGGGTCTGTACTGAGTAAAACTCGTCCTATATTTTTTTTTTGGTGACAAACGTCAGGACATATGCCAGCTGTTACTATCTGTTGGCCTGAAATTCAGGCCAATGTTGTTTACATGTCCCCCGCTGAGATGGCAAGAATGGTTTTGCAAGAGATGATCATCACAAGATGTAAATCATGGATAATGTTTCCCTGAAAAATACAATTTTCTTTATTATTATTATCACAAATTGCATATCCATCTACAAATATTGTATTTTCTAGAAAAGGTAATGGATCAGGAAGATGTCTTAAATTTGAACAATTTTAAAAATGATTTTTAATTTTAAAATTTATATGATCAGTGCTTGGAACTAAGTAATTCAGTCAGTAATTAATACACCTATTGGGTTTAATTACTTAAAAAAATACTTTGCTTGGTTAGATAGGGGGTGGGGGTGGGGAGTGGGGGTGGTGTGTGGGTTGTAATAACCATATGCTTAACAAATGATAGGCAATCTGTGTGCAGAAATAAATGTAATTTTGTTTGCAGTGTTGCACTTTGCAAAATAGTTATTACAGGTCTTTTTATTTTACCATCTTGTTACTGTTTTGTGTTGTTTACTAGATAAAAGCAGCAAGTAGGAATGCAAAACTTAACTACAGTAAACTGAATTTTTATCAGTTTCCTCACCAATTTACCACCTTCAGTTTCTATCCCTGTTTTCAGGGCAGCTATTTGAGTCACCTGTTTCACTGATCTTCATGCCTCAGTAATCTCAATGACAAAATTTGACTGGAAGGCCCATACACTTGGTCACTTGTAAGATCCCGTGTACGCCATCGTTCATAGTGCACACTAAATTTTTCCTTTTGCTATTCATATATGCTGGATATAATTGTGTAATTTATAGCTTTTTTAACTAAATTTTCTGCTTAGGCCGCACCTTGCATAGGTACTTTAGTCTCGTTCATGCTTGCCCCTTTGGGTATTATATCTTTTCTTTTGTTTATTATTCTTTTTTTCCCTTAGGGTGGTGTTTTCTTTTTTTTACGTTATTATGTATAAGATAATTGAAACCCAATAAAGCTTTTGAATGAACAAACGAACAAGTGTTTCATTGAGAGCCAGGCACCGGACAAATTGACTGGCCGTTAGGATCTGACATTTTGCCTCCCTGGTTGGACCGTGTAGAGAAAAGTTTTCTCATAAAGATGTTCAGCTCAAAAAGTCCTGCCCACCTTTGAAAACTAGTTGCCCTCTGCCCTCCTGTTGAAAACGTTGCTGAAAGCCCTGCGGTAACCAATTTGTTGCTTGAGGTTGATTATATCAACAACAGGCGAGTTCATCCACATCTTGAAAGGTCATCAAACATACTCAGTGATAACAGGTGTTACAGGTTACTGCCTTCATTGAGCCTTGATCACTGATATTATATTTATTATAAAAAAGTCTACACATTTTGTACCCTGGTCACATAGATTTTTGCTCTTCTTCTGCTACTGTCAAAGTGAAAAAGCTTTCAAAGCAGTCAGAGTTGAGCAAGAGAAGAAAACCTCTTGATTTGGTTCTAGTTGGTTTGAATCTCACTTCCACATTGATGCTGGCTATCAAACATATTTTCAAAATAATGGCTGAAGTGTCAACCAATAGCACTTACAGACTTAATAGAAATTGTAGACATCTGGACTCTTGCTGATAACTTCTGTTATAACCTGGTGTCACAATAAATGCAAGATCTTACAATCACAATGATTCGATTCAGAATCCTCAAGCCCAAGTGTAACCCCAATTAATTAAATGCCTTTAGACTAAGCTACTTTGTAACAAGCATCCTTATTCCAAAAAACTTGTCTTATTTCAATAAATGGTCCCTATTCTGATCACTTGCTTATGCTCCCAATATCATTATCCAGAATTCTGAGTTGTTTTTATCACAGAGTTGCTTTTGAGATTTTCTTTTCTCACTTGAGTCAAGGTGAATTGCTGATTTTGCTCAATTACTTGTTTTTGTCACCCATTTCTGATGATTTTCTCACTTTATTTATAATTTATTTATTTATTTATTTATTTATGTATTTATTTATTTAACATAATATTTTTTTTTTGCATAATTTGATTACCAGCCATATTTTGCTGACATTTTTTTTTATTGTTTTGTTTTCTGCTTTAGATTTGCACACTGTAATACACTATCTTATTTATTTATTGGTTGTTCTATGACAATTTTTTACTCATAAATTTTGTTTTCTGAGAAGGATCAGCATGATTAATAATTAATTTTTCAGCTCCTTTATTTGAACTTTTCCCACAGAATATTCACATGGTTGACGTACACCTCATGTGGTTTGTTGCTGTTTTCCTAAGCCGAAGAGTCGTGTGGCAGGTTCTTGGACAGGTAATCTGAAAACTAGCTTCTGCGTGTTCAAATAACTTTTTTTTTTGCCAGTTGTTTCTGAGTATTGTTTCTGAGATTTCTATGCTAGGGATTCATCATAGATGTTCTTGTCTCTAAAAGGTTAATGATCAAATTACTGAATAAGAAAAATAAAATATTTAAGTAGTTTCATTGTCCAAAAGTAATACAATTGTACATGTATCAAAATTTGATTTATCAAAATTCAGAATTAGGGAATGAAAGAAAAGAATTTATTTCATTTGATTTATTTCTCACTTGTTTAAAAGTATGTAGTTTCTTTTAACTATGACAAGCAAGCTTGGCTGGCAGTCCACCATTGCCAGCTAGCTCCTTGTGTATTCTGGGACTCTTATGATTTGGCATTAAATAGTGGCAGTTAGCATTTAAAGTTAAGCATTTTTGTTGGCATTAGTGGATATTTAAAATTGCCATCTCCGACACTCTACTGTCATCTTCTATATTGTATCTTCTTTCCAGACACTGGCTTCAGAGGTGCTTTACACTGTTAAGTATTTTGTTGGTGTTTTCATGAAGGGTGCAGCACTTCTCACACTTGTGTCAGGCTTTGCATGGTTGTCATGGAGACTTATTCAGCAGAACAGCATTCAGAATTGTCTCTTCCTCTGTTACCCGTATGTATACTCCCCTTTGGTTGATGCTTCGTATTACATTTCTATTCAGTCAGTCTGTCCCCAAGTTAAAATAAACAATAAACATTTTTGCCTTGTCGGCAACTCAACAGAGGTTGCTTGGATTTTTGTCTCGTCATGTTGAAAACTTTCTCTACTGCTAATGTTAGGAAGCCATATTATGACCAGAGACCAAGAAACAATAGACGTTTTTACGGATACGGCAGCCAACTTGAATGCCATTGTTTCAAATAGCTATTTTGTGATGCTCAGCATCCCATAATAGCTATTTGAAACAATAGAATTCAAAATTGCAGTCATATTGGTAAAAAGGTCTTTTCATCAGCTAATCAGTGGGAAATGTTAAACTATTACTAATAATGTGGGCAGAATTGCTTTGCCCAGACGAGTCGTATGGGTTATTTTTGCGCACACTTAATGCACACTTAATTTTGCAGTTTCAAGGCAGAACTTACAGTACTCGAGCTTCTACTTACACAGACTCAATGATATTCTGTCAGGCTTAATGTGCCATTCGATGAATCAATCAATCAATCAGTCAGTCAATCAGTCAATCAATCAATCAATCAATCAATCAATCAATCAATCAATCAATCAGTCAGTCAATCAATCAATCAACTACATCGCCTTGGTCTTTTTTACCAGACGTTATGTTTACACTGAGGACACTCGAACCATGAACTCTTGACTTTTTGCTGACCTTCCTTTTAGTGACTGTAGTATGAGGACTCTTCGTGTAGACAAACGCTGCTCTTATACATTACATAAAGAGCCTTCATTCTGTAGTCACCAAAACAACATGTACAAAAACGTGAAGGGTTTATTGTTTGAGTGTCCTCACTGTACGGTTTTTTTTCTCCAGGTTAGTGATGTACTTATTTACATTTGGCTTCACCTTGGACCCTCAAGGAAGTAAAGTAATGCTTAAACTAAGCCCTCATCAGGAGCTAGGACCTTTATCACAGCTACAGCTGTTACAAAGCAGTCTCCTCGATAAAGGTATCATGGTGAATGGAAACGCTAAACAGGAAATTCCAGCGCCACAGCCGTGTTCTCTGCCACCTGACGCCGTCCGGTACGAAGCCGAATGCCTACGGACAGATTTTAATCTTCGAATAAAACAAGTTCTGTTTCAGTCACTTGTATGCGCGTATTATGTTGGTTTTATTCCAATGAAGTTTTCAGAGGTGAGGATTATAAGCAAATTGAATGATAACTATAAGTAAAATACGTTGTTTTAGTTGAGCAGACGTATTGAAAATGCCGCTTCGGAAATTTGCGCACTTTAAAGTTTCGATCGTACGACATCTACAGATTGCAGTTAAAACTCTTAACGCCCTAACAACACTTTCAGCCAGTTGCGACGTTCTCGTTGTGGGGCGTGGACAGGTTGCGTGAACTTTAAATTCGACTTGGTTGAATGACGTTTCTCTTTGATTTCTGATTGGTCGAAGCGTGTTTGGTCCACTTTTTTGGTTTAGTTAGAAGAACACGTATCAGGGTTGCTAAGGAACAGACGTATCCGAATATTTAATTATACTCGTGTTTGCCCGCGCTATTTTGTGATTGGATAACAAACATCAGAAACCAAGGTCTGGCCAGAAGAGTTACCAGTTCCCCTGACTGGACAACCCAGTTTACACTTCCGTGCTTAGTGTTCAGGTCTTTGAACAGAAGCGAGGCTAGAGTTGACTTTGTTTTGATCCAATACAAACCTTGCTACTTTTCAAATGTAAATGATCCTGTTATCATGCGAACTAGTTTCTAATCCAGTGTCCAGTGTTTTGGCTGTGTTTTGTGATCATTCCCTTGAATTTTCTATTATTCACAGCAACATTACGTGTATTACGACATGTGGTGGGCTTGTCAACACACGCTGTTTGTATGGCTGAGTTCTCTTCTAATGCTTATGATGTTTCTGTTACCGCTCAACTACTGTGACGCCCTACACAAGTGTGCACTGCATCTTGGGGGATGGGAGAGATATCCATGCGGGCACCGAGACACGCCGCACGTGTAAGTTACGGAAACTTTATGTTCTTATTAACAACAGTTTTGTTCGGTCAGATTCGGTATCATTCATTTTGGACGGGGAAGTTTTAAGGTTGGAAAGTTTAAGAAGTGCTTGTCTCCCTTTTCCTGCAAGAAATTGAAATGTTTCAGTCACCGCTAGCGCCTGCGTTGTAGATTGAACTTTAACGTAGTAAAAGCTGCTATACGCCAGCGGTAAATTGCGCAGCAGCGAAGACTAACCATTAGAGTTTTACCGATGTAGCTATCGTTTATGATAAAATTTCGGGAACCCAGAAGTCCACAACCACTGCTTGCCCTCCACCCCATCCCCTCCCGGGTTGGAATGCTAGTCCATTAGATACAGGCTGCTGCCTAACGCTTTCTTCTCGATTCTAAGAGGAGTCTGAGTACGGGCTAACACTGAACTGAAAGAAAACAATTGGAAAATATCCCAGTAATCATTAATGTGGCGTTTACTTGATTTGAAACCTCTGCTATATAACGCTTGGCTATTGTCTTTGGCTTTTCCCTCCCCTAGATGGTCAGCATTAACAGTATGGCCCCAGGGGGTCCTAGTACGACACGGTAAACTACTTTACAGAGCGCTTGGTATCCACAATGTAGCTATCCCAGGAGACTCGCATCATGGGAGATTTTTTGTAAGTATACGATTTCGTGAAAAGATTTACTATGTGAAAATACTGTGAAGTACGTGCGTTTCTGTATTTATTTCATCAATCTAATTCAATATTCGGTAGTGGCTGGTACTAAATGGATCTAACAAACTCTGACATTGTTTTGCAGTTCATGTTTGAATCTCCTTTGCGACTTATTAACTGGATGTCTGCAGTTCTCCTCTTACTCGTCCTATATCAACTCTTTATGATCACGCGGTCCCATTCTTGGCACCAGCTCCTCTCGGTCACAGGGCTTCTGGCGTTTAACTACCTGATACTCTACCGGCTTTTCCGGGATCGCTGGGCACTCCAGGCAGTGGTGCGAGAGAGAACGGGAAGTTGAGCCCCTAATTATAGACCTGCTATATCGGTTTGAAGTGCGAGAATTCGATTAGTTATAACGGATGTGGTATTCAGGCGTAGTGTGTCACAATATTTTCTCTCTTTATACTTACAGTTACCATTTCTTTCTATCGCTATATGCTAAGCTAATATATTGTTCTTCTTTCTACACATTATTCTTTTATTTCGCTTTATCGTTTTCCAGTTCTTTTTCCTTAGTTCGTGAGCTTAAGGGAGGTCTGCATTTGAATCTCTTTTCAACTGCTTTTGAACCATTTCCTAACATAGTTTCTCTGCGGTAAACAAGCTTATGTTTTCGAGGAATTCCGCAGCTTTGAAGGTTTATTTATTATTTATTAAATATCGTGGATACAAAAATGATAAAATGATATACAAGGATACAGTAGAGCCTTCTTGTGATATTCAATTAACTCTTCAAGAAAAATAACATTTAAAGTACCTGCTTCAAAGAATGGCAGTGAACCTTGTTCGCTTTAAAATAGTCTTGCCGCGAAAAACTGAGGGTGGGCAAGGATTCATCGGTTCCTTTGACGCACCTTAGACCACTGATCTTGACCCAAATCATACCAAAGGAACGCACCCTTTAATCGGTTGACGTATTCTAAATCGTCGTTTTGGTTCGGCGTGTTTTAAATTGACGTCTGATCTCTTCTCTTGTAGTCTTTGTTCTCCGCTAAATTCTGGATTTGACAGTGTTTTACGGCTTCTCGTTATAGAAAATTTATCCCCATCGCTTCTCCTTGAGCAACTGCCCACTTCTATCCTAAAATCATTTTTTTCTTCCGAAATGCAGCTCTTCTAGTTGAACTTGGCTGATAGTTACCCCTCTGGTAGCATTATCAATATGCGATGGATTCTCCACATTTCCTACAAATTCGCATAATTTAAAAGCGAACTAAAAAGATTTATTTTGGGCAATCATTCGTCATTTAACAGGTCTGCGTGTAATTTGGAATATCGCGAACGATAAGAAATCGAACATTTTGACGCAAGTGTTTTCAAACCATAAGTTTCTTTTCAAAGCAAGATATGGCTATCGCCTGCAAACGCACTCCGTTGTAGCTAGTCGCATTCCATCTGCAACTATCGGCTCCAAAGTTAACTGTAGAACAAAGTTTGTTTTAATGTCACAACTGGTAATTTATAGAATAAAAAGGTATTCATCTGAGAGAAGTTATGTGTTCTTTGAACAAATCTGAAGCGTTGCAACTCTGTGTTGTGATCTCCACTGTATGTCTTTAATATGCGTTTGCAATTACACAGTTTCTGAAGTTTACTGAACAGCAATTTAAAACTGGCAATGTCTGACTGGACTATAACTGAACTACTAAGAAAACGCGAACACTAAGGCTCTGTCCACACGTGAAGACAAAGTTGCGGACTGTTTCTAGCAACTAAGATATCTGCGTTTACAAAGGCAGGGCCCTGGTTAGTAACAGGCAACCAGAGGCTCTTGCCTCCGACAGTTTGTTCGTTTTTGTTGTTTATAGTCATCATAAACACCCTAAATAGCCTGGGAGAGAACAATTTTTGTTCTGACACTGAAATGTACTCGTTTCTAAAGAATCTGTCGGCTCCGACGAAAGGTCAATGCAGGAAACTCGGCTTGACAAATTCATCACGGCGGTTAAATTAACTTTGATAAGTAGCTAATCAGGCCCAGTTAAGAGGCCGAACTTTTCAC